TCATTTGAATTTTAAGATTTTTTTTTTTTTTTGAATATGCAACAATCATCTTTTGTTTATAGAATTTAAAACTTCATTCAATTAATTTCATTTAATTTGATATCTGATCTGAGTTAATTATTTTTGGATTCTCCTTTCAGCCACTCCCTTCGAGGCCCAGAAAGCAAGTTGTCCAGTCCAATTCCACCCCAAACCATGATGCTTAGACCACCCACGAGTCTCGTTCAATGACACAAGCATCAGCATAGCGTTCGCCCCTCCTTTGCCAGATCCTGAATCTACCATCTAGTGTGGAAACACAGTAACGACTTTCATCTCTCAGGATGGGTACACGAGCAGGACGGTGGCAGTTGTTGTTGGTAGTGAGGCGACGTCGCTCACTGATGGCACGTTGGTGGTTGCCAATAGTCTGCCGAGCTGTTTCAGTGGCTATTCGAAATCGGTTCTGCCAATTTTTGCGTATCATGTACCGATCTTGTAACTCTTGGACGACCACTACGCAGACGGTCGTTGGTGGTGTTGTAGCGAAGTTTCAAATGATATAAATCGTTCTGGCGTTAACATTGAATGCATTTGCAACGACCTGTCCTGCTGTGTTTGGGCAAATCATCCCATTTTAAATACAAATGTAAACTGAACTTTAAGGCAACAAAAAGGACCAGTAGAATGTAAAAAAAAGTGAAAAAAGTAGCGGGGACACGATATGGTTGTTTCTGGACTCGCGCCGCTTACGAACTCAAGATGAGTTTAAGGTGCTGTTGTGTACTTAACCCCCGAAGTTATACCGGCGTGGATTTAGCAGAGGATGTCTAAAGAAATGATTTAGGTTTAGTCCCGTTCAACACATAACGTCTCACAGATGGTAAACCATGGGTGCTCCAATAACCATCTGGGATACAGCACTGGACAGTTCATATGAGTGGCAGATTTGTCATGAACTAATTGACGCATTCGGGCAAGGTCCTCGAATAACCCCGATACACAGGCTTGGTGAAGAAAACGCTAGAAAAAGCCCCGTAAAATTCAAAACTTTACATCAGTCGCTATCACCATATTGTGTTCCCTTTTCGCGTTTCTAATACAATTTATTGGTTTGGTGTACTTCATTTTTATTGCGTTTATAGAGATGTTATGACGCTTGTTCTGTGGCGATCTCAACGGCGAATATTGGCGACAACGGCGCCAACCGCACGGTACCGGAGGCCCCCTCCACACTTATACCATGCTTGGGGCATGACGAGCTAATCTTCGTAGCAGCTCAGTAAGGACGCCTTTCCGGTGTGACGGAGCTAGAACTGTCTAAAGCACTTATTCAAACACTCTCCTGATGCTATTTATTTATCTTAGCTACCATAAGTCGTATAAGTTAGAAGTTCTTTTTCGAGTTTCGCATTATTGACTAGCATGTATTTAAATGTTTTATTTACATCGGTTTGTACAATAGACGCAGTTGTAGGGGGCGGCAAATAGTAATGTTCCGATTGTCGCCGACAATGGGTTATCGGTCGTTGACAGTCCAACGACGTTACTAATCGATTCCCAAATGAAAGTCAGCGAAATCGGAAAACGTTATAAAAAGTCAGTCATGCTGTTTTTTGTTTGTTCTATAAATAAATTAAACTTAACTTATTATAAAATTTGGTGACTAAAACAATGAGATCTTGATAATTTGTCACACCTTTGAACAACTTTTCTCTAGGACTCGTCCAAGTTTCGACACAGAAACAAATGAGGCATGTTTGTTACTATAAATAGTATCGTAGTCACAGATTGTGATGAATAAAGGTAGGCCTATTAAACTGAAGTGGATGGCAGACGACATTTCGGGGAGGTACAAAAGAACAGCATAGATATGGCCTATTTGCAAAAATTCATGCTTCATCATTTGATCATTCATCAACTTGGACTGACTCCGCTATAGAATTGTTTTTTCTAATCAAAATAAAACTGAGCAAGTAAAGATCCCTCGACAATTGGAAATCGAAAAAGAGCAGGCTAATGCCTCTGTGCCTCTGCAGAGAGCAGAAAAGCAGCTTTCACACACAGTCGTACAAGAACTGAATGTAGCTACGCTCGCAGCCAGTCCATTATTGATTAGGAAAAGCCAAATATTTTTGTTTCGTCTTTTAAAAAACAAGTTAAGAGTCAGCTCTTACTCAGCTAAAATATAAAATTCTTATTCTTAAACAGATAGGTTATGTTTACATTAATCTTGTTTGTGCTATTTTTGTCCTAACTTCCATTTTCCTATCATAGCCTATGCTTTCCTAACATAAACTAAATTTGATGTTTCTATGAGTCTTCCTTTACTATATTTTCTTTTCGCCCTGGAGTGTAGCCTAAACTTACTATTGGCAATTACGTGCAGATCTTATTTACTCTTGATTTTACAGGAGCCGCGGTGGCTCGGTGAGTTAGATGCTTGCTCGCTAACCTTAAGGTTAGGGTTCAATCCCGGCATAGGTCGAGATAATACCTTCCGATTTTTCAACCCGGTTTTCCACTGTCAGTGATGCAGGTAAGAGGGGCTGACATGGAAAAAGCGTCTAGTCGTTCGGATGGGACAATAAACCGAGGCCCCGTGTGCTACAGGCTGTGCACGTTAACAATCCCTCGACAGTTGAAAATCGAAAAAAATAACAGGCTAATGCCGCTGTCCTGGCAAAATTTCTCTCATGGCACCCTACATGACGTTGCCCGTCTTCATTAGCCTACATGGTGCAGAAAAGTAGGATGTAAAAATCCATTTATTTCATTTCATTTCTTGATTTTACATGCATTAAAACCTAGGCTACTTACTTGCCAAATAACAAGTCTTCTCATCATAGTAATTTACTGTAGTCTGGATGTAGGTTTATCAATGATGTAGTTATTTCCCTTGACTTGCACTCCTCCCGGCTACATTACATTACACGTCAGTTAGTTTAAAATCCATAATAATTCTCGGCTTAATTTGACAGCCTGTGACACACAGCACACGCACAGTTTTCATAACAACCATATTGGATTAAAGAAACCCACAATCCGTTGTTGTCCGGTCACTTTGGAGATAGTAAGAAGATTTTGTTTAGTTACTTCCCCTCGTTGTTGAACTCCAAGTCCAATGTTAGATTGACAACAATTGGATCTCAGCTTATGATTATTCTTTCCCACAATAAAATTATTCTTATAAAGGCTGATATTCTCGAATCAAAC